AAAAGCAAATTTTGAAGTGATGCGACAAGAATTATCTGTTGTGAATTGGGCAACCAAGTTATTTGGAAACACTGATCAGATAAATTTGTAAATATTCAAGGTAAACATTCTTTCAAGAGAAGGGTGGCTACAAGTAAAAAACAGGTTGGCTCACAAAAGAGTTTGAGAGTTAAAATTAAAGAAAACCATAAAAAATGTAAATTGACTGGTATGAAAGGAGATTTAGAAGACCAAAAAAAGTTGGTGACACAGAACATTAGGACATCAAAAAGGATGTATGAGAAAAGGTTCTCTGAAAATGTAAAAATTAACAGTAAGGATTTCTTTAAATACATTAATGGTAAAAACATGTTAGGATGGAGGAAGGACCCTTGAGGGATTATAAAGGACGACTTGTATCTGATGATTATGAGATGGCTGGGTTATTAAATTTTGTCTTTTCTTCAGTTTTTACTAATGAAGATTTAAGCAGTATTCTACATCTTGAACAGTTGATAGATGGAAAAAAGATTAAACAAGATTACTGCATTAATATTGAGCTTGTTAAGAAAAAATTGGGAAGTTTAAAGAACAATAAGGCTCATGGGCCAGGTATTATTTCCCTAAGGGTTTTGAAGAAGGTTAAGGATTGGATATATGAGCCACTTGCTACAATTCTTTGTAAGTCCTTGAATAGTGGACTTAAAAAGTCCAGACGATTGGAAGTTAGCTAATGTAACTCCTCTTTTCAAGGGAGATGATAAAAATTGTCCCAGTAATTATAGGCCCATTAATTTTATATTAGTTGTGGGGAAAGTTTTGGAAAGTCTGATAACAAATGCTTTGCAAAGCCATTTAACAAAATTTATAATTTTATTGGATAGTCAACATGGTTTCACTAAGGGAAAGTCCTGCCTTACAAATTTTTTGACATTTTTTGAAAAGGTTACTGCATATGTAGATGAGAGTAAGAGTGTAGATTTGGTGTATCTGGATTTTCAGAAAGCATTTGACAAGGTGACACATAAAAGGCTTGTAAAAAAATTATCTCTATAGGTGTAGGGGATAAGTTATCAAATTGGATAGAAGAGTGGATGGATGGAAGAAAGCTGAGGGTTGTTACAAATAGTTCAGTCAAACTGGATTAATGTTACATGTGGGATACCTCAGGGCTCAGTCTTAGGATCTATGCTCTTTTTTGATTTACAATGACATGGATGAAGGAATGGTCAATAAATTACTTAAATTTGCAGATGATATTAATGTCTTGGGTGTTGCTAGCTGTGAAGAGGATTCTGCTGATTTACAAAAAGATTTAGATCACTTAGTGAGTTGTGCAAATAAATGGCAAATGGGTTGTAATTATAATAAATGCAAGATAATGTATGTGGGTTATCATAATTTTAATTATAAGTATAATTTCAATGGTAATAATCTTAACAGTGTCATGAAAGAAAGGGATCTTGGTGCAATGGTTGATCAATCTCTTAGGCCATACAAGCAATGTACTGTTGCTATTGGTAGGGCAAATTAGATTCTAGGTTCTATTTACAGAAATACTGAATACAAGTCTAAAGAAGTTATAATTTCATTGTATAGGTAACTGGTTAGGCAACATTTGAAGTACTATGTTTAGTCTTGGGCTCCTTATTTTAGGAAGGACATTGAATTGTTGGAAAAGGTTCAGAGGAGGGTTACTAGAATAGTGCCTGGGATGGAAATGTTGTCACACAAGGAGAGGCTGAAATCTCTCAAATTGTTTTCTCTTGAAAAAAAAAAAACAGTTAGAGGGGATCTGATTGAGGTGTTTAAGATGTAAATGGAATTGATAGTGTTGATGCATCATCTTTCTTCATACTTAAAAGTGAGAATAGTAGGACTGGGGGACATAAATATAAATTTTGGCAGGGTAGGATTCATCTTCAGCTAAGACAGTTTTACTATTATAATAGGATGGTTGGCCTTTGGAACGAATTACCTTTGGATGTTGTGGAGGCAGTAAATTTAAGTGAGTTTAAGAGAAAGTTTGATAAGTATATGAATGATAAAGGCTAGTTTTAAGTTTTCTTTTTTTTTAATTTATTTATTAATAGTTATAGAACATAACACAAAAAATAGAAAGAAAACCTATGAATGTTCATATAAAAATTCATTAACATGCCTTTAATGGTGTAGCTAGTTTTTGCTATATAATATTTGCACCACTTTATGGATAGTGGGGCGTTTTGTTAATGGTAAAGGTATTGTAATAAGTTATTATTAACTTTTTTCCAATATAAGTAGGCTTGTTAATATTCTAATTAAAGCTAATTCAATTCAAACTGTAAATTAATTAAGACTATTTGATAGAGCTAATTACTCAGTTATAATAAATTTTATACAATTAGTTACTACTCTACAATTTGAAGGACTTAAGTAGTTTAAAATATTGTTTGTAACAGTCTTAATAGTACAAATAAAATAAACCAGCCAAGGGGACATGATGTATATAATCATTAGAATACACTGAATCAACACATTGGTATCATCATTCTTAGCGATTTCTGCTTTAGTCCAGTCAGAAAAGTGTGCTGTTTGATGCAAACATTTTTACAGTAAAGGTAACACAAGCTAATAAATGTAAAAATTACATACCTGAAGTTTTCAGTAAAACTTTACTTCTATTAACAATAATATTTTCTTTTGAGGTAACAGGCAGTTCCTAGAAAATTTAATACAAGAAATAAGACTTAAAGAGGATAAGATGAGACAAATATACAATATTCATTCATCACTTTAGACACTAGCTACAAAGCAAACTCTTGGCATAATGAACAGTCCACAACACTTAATAAAACTTCCCCATAACAATTTGTTTGGCTTATAGAGAAATGTATGAATATTAGTTTCCTGATCAGAAATCTGATTATATAAAAAAATTTCTTTCAAATAAACAAAATTAAAGGGTTTTTATCACAAAAGAACAACATTTTTCCCACTTGCCTTAACGTTATCTAGAAATATAGAATACATTTTATTAAACAAATTAAACATTTTTTCCTCTTCCTGATGTTCACAGCTATTCTAGGTATTTTAAAATACTTATGTCAAAATTTCAGATTTAAAAATGAGCAAATTTTACCACATGATAATAAAATTTCTGTTTTGGTCAATTAATGAGAAGAAAACGCATAATCAGTACCAAACTATATTAAACTTATCTTGAAGTGAAGCACATTAAAGACATGTTAGGAACTTTGATGGTATTGAAAACAAACCTCCTGTTCTTTGAGCCACTTTTCTCTTTCATGTCGTTGGCGTCGCCATTGCCCATCATCTTCTACTTCATTATCATCACCTTCACTCTCTGACCCCAAACCTTCTTCTTGTGAATTCATATCTATGGACAGTTGACAAAATTATTCTTCAGTCTAAGTTACAGGCTTCAAATTACATTATAATTACTAAATTAAGGTTTTTTTAGTTTTTGTCATTAAGCTTTTCACTAAATACATAAGCACACATCAACTATGAATTTGCATTTAGCCTGGATATAGATACTGAATGTTACGTTTACACAGAAACAGCCACATTTACACACTGACCATTTCAGTTGTTCATGGTACATATTAATAATGAAAAAATAATTTAACCTCACTAACTAATTTCCAATACTACAAAAGATGCATAATTTAGGTGAGCAAGCTTTCCTACACAATAGCAGCAAATTTTCACAGCATAAAAAACAAAAGTAAAAGGATTACAAAATTTCTATTTAACATTTGATATTACTGAACCTGCAATAAAAACGTAGACATATTAAACATGAAAAATGCATTGTCTACATTCACCATACAGTAAAACACTAAACACTGTATGGAAACAATGACAATCATTTTACTGAGTGCATTTTGTACCATAACACATCTCTTAATCCAACTGACATTGTAGAATTTTGTTTTGGTACTCATGTATGCTTAATGTTAAACAATCAGAAAATATGAAAGATGCAGACTTAAGAAATGACACTAATTTTAAATGTTCTAATCCTTAGTAGTTGTGATTATTCCAATAAGAAAAATTTCTAATAAACTTGAGATACAAGGACAAATTTAGTATAACAATGGTGATGTTCATGTGCCTCAGAACTTTATTTCTTATGAAGGTGCACATCTTGTCAACAGATGGACATTGTGAAACACTACACAATTATTCCAGTTGGTTTCTACAATAATAATAACAATTTTGAAAGAGCTTCCAAAGAATATTGATATTAAGAGACCTAACTTAATTGTGCTGAAAATAATTCTGAGAATGTGTCACTTTAAAGTGATATACTTCCATGAATAACACTGTGTTAAGCATATTTTAGTACAAATCACAACCATTCCTAGGTACATGTACCAAGTTCTAGCACACTTTTTATAGGTATTTTTTAAAATAAATCTTACCTTCCATACACTCACTACATCATTTAAATAAATTTTGTTGCTATTAGATCCAACATATTTTAGTATAAAAAACAACAAACTCACCAATATTTTTCCATCTAAATTTCCTTTCTCTTTTACCTCCTTCACTATGTAAATCACCATCTTCTAAATACATTTCTTGATAAAGTTTTAGTTTTCGTTTATCTTCATCCAACAAAGTTTTACTACAAAGATTGAAATACTTTAAGGAATATGAAGCTGGAGTAAAGAAAAATAACATAAAGAATGATAAATCTACATTACAAAAAATCCATTATAGTGAATAATTTAGTACCAAATATTGAAAACGTATAGAAGAATTAAGTTAACAGAATACAAAATTACGCAAAGAAATAGCTAGCTACAGAGATTTTAATAACTTTCAAAGTTATCAGTGAAGCTGTATAAACGTATTCTAATATTAAAGAAAGATGTACAAAAATATTAAAAACAAACCTACAAGTGAACTTTGCCAATCTGATCACGAAGTTCATCTTCAGAGGGTAACTCTTCAGCTATCTCATCTTCTTCATAATTATCTTCATCTTCTGGCAAATCAAGGTCTTCATCACTTCCTACATCACTACCTGAGAGCTCAGCCTCTTCCTCAAAAAATTCTTTCCGTATCTTACTACAGAAAAGAAAATTCCTCTTTTCAATTTTTTCTGCACTATTTAACACTAAAAAGAAGAATACCCTGTAACTCTTCATTGAAATTTACAAAGAAAAAAAATTATTTAATAGTTTTCTTCAGTTGTTACCAGACCTAGTTGGAAAGTACTTTCTTCCTTTTAATAGATAACCTTGCATTGTCTGTTGTGACAGCTTATAAAAAAGAAGATAAGTTTCATTAGACCATCCAGTCTGCTGTCCAGCATACTAGCCACTAGGACACAATCAGCTTTATTGTTTGGAAGAGTAGCACACCATGAATCAATCATTAGACCATCCAGTCTGTTGTCCAGCATCCTAGCCACTAGGACACAATCAGCTTTATTGTTTGGAAGAGTAGCACATCATGACTCAATCATTAAACCATTCAGTCTGCTGTCCAGCATGCTTATCACTAGGACACAATCAGCTTTATTGTTTGGAAGAGTAGCACATCATGACCCAGTCCTTAGACCATCCAGTCTGATGTCCAGCATGATTATCACTAGGACACAATCAGCTTTATTGTTTGGAAGAGTAGCACATCATGACCCAGTCCTTAGACCATCCAGTCTGATGTCCAGCATGCTAACCACTAGGACACAATCAGCTTCATTGTTTGCATTTGTACATCCTTTTCATCTCCATTGTTGATAGCCACATTTTATTTCTAGATGTATTTTATGTTATTAGAATTTGTTATTACAACAAAATTTAATTAAAATAATAAATTTCCTGTAAGAGGATTTAAACAGAAGTAAACAGCATGTCAAAGTCAAATAATGCAAGAAATCTAACAATGAAAAAAGTAAAACCACCAGAGCTTTAGTAGAATTAAAACTTCATGGTATCTAATTTCACTGAAAATGACTTAACTAACACTACAAATATTTGATTTTAACCATACCATCACATGTTCAGGTGCCAAAATTGAGATGCATAATAATTTTCGCAGCATGTGTAATTCATAAAGATGTTAGTAAATGTACATATGTATTAACTAGGTGATAAAAAAACTACCTATTTTCTTGAAATGCAAATCCACTGAATTTCTTTTCTTCATGTGATTTGTTATCTTCAACTTGCAAGTCTTCATTAATTTCAAATTCTTCATTATCAGAGAAGCCTCCAAAGGACTCGCAATCCTCATCTTCATCATCACTCATCATCACAAGCCTTCTTTTTCCTGGATATTTTTTTCTGCTTTTGATTTCTTTTCTAGGGCTAGAAATAAAAAAATATAATTATAGTTTTTATTCATCAGTACATAAAGCACACATATAAAAATCATTCTATTCAAAATTTCATAAAACAAAATTTATACTTTCACTAATACAGTACTGAATACGTGTTTAAGTATACAATAATATTTGTTTATTTATTTAGAAAAGACAACCAAAGTTAAATATGTTAATTTCCTTAAAAAAAATCCACTGGTTGTTTTTGTTAAATTTGTATGAATTATGTATATGATATCCAAGTGGAAACTGAATTTAACAAGTTGCTTTTTTAATTGCTTTTTTCTTGTAATCTAACCCAGTAATAAAAAAAATTAATAACATATTAGAATGAATAAAAATTTGTTTAGACTGCACACTATAATCAAGATTCAGGTATAGTATTAAGTTCAAAAACAAATCAGTTTTAGTAAAAGGTTTGAAAGACCTCAGGTAGCAAAATAATGCAAGGCTATGATAAAGCTAAAAGATATCACTTTTCCATTTTTACAGCAATGTCATATTAAGTATTTCTTGAAAGCGCAATAAAAAATAAAAATATGAACTGTTATAATGTTAGGAAAGATAATTATTTGATGTTGTAATTCAATGACAATAATCTAATTTTGCAGTTTGTATAAAAAGAAAAAAATTACTTTATTAACCTGCACTGGATCTTTTTCTCCTTTGAATAGAAAATACAGCTATCAGTTAAATAAAATGAAAACAAATTCATTCAAATTATTGTAATTCTTTAATCTTAGGCTTTTGTACTTTGATATTTCAAAATCTATATTGGTTAGTTTTTAGGTATATAATATATATATTCCAGGGAGAAAATGTCTAAGTTCTTCTATGGGTTCATCAATCAAAATATATATCACCATTAAAAAACAAAATCCCATTTTTCATTTTTGGTTTTATACTCAATACTTTATTTTATACAGTATTGGATGAGAGAAAAAGGCAGTTGTATAACAGTGGTTTGATAGTGGAACAATTTATATTGCATGGCATCATTCAGGATGTTGCTTAACACTGTTGACATGGTAACAAGTGATACTGGTTCCTGTTTGGTAGATATGTCTTAACATTGTTGACATGGTAAACCAAACAGGATTGGGTATCACTTGTTACCATGTCAACAGTGTTAAGCCACATTTATCAAACAATAACTAGCATCATTCATTACCATGTCAACAATGTTAAGCCATATCTACCAAACAGGAACCAGTATCACTTGTTACCATGTCAACAGTGTTAAGCAGCATCCACCAAACAGGATTCGGTATCACTTGTTACCATGTCAACAGTGTTAAGCCACATTTATCAAACAATAACTAGCATCATTCACTACCATGTCAACAATATTTAGCCTCATCTACCAGACAGGAATGAGTATCATTCATTACCATCTCAACAATATTAAGATGCATCTGCCAAACAAGAATCAGATTACTCATTACCAAGTCAATACTGTCAGGCATGACTCCTATTTTCTTACCAGATCTACAAGCATCTCAGTTTTAATAACTGGTCTGAGAGAGATCAAGCTAAAATTTCTTAAAAGAAATTAATCTACAAATGTATTAAAGTCCTACTTGTACTACAGAACTAAATAAAAACATAATACACCCTATCATTACATCATTCAAGTCTACATAAAAATATATATATAAAACAAACACTGGTGAGACAGACTTGTGCATATCACAAGATGAGATTTAATCAATGTGTTCAAAATGTTAATAACCACAGAAGTAGAGTTAAATAAAACTGTCAACAATTGGATCCTTGAAAACAAGTTAAAAAATTAATTACCGTTTGGAATATGATTTATTTTGGTATTCAATTCATTTCTCAACCATAAAGATTAATAAACAAGTGATAAATGAATGTGACTCACAGTCCTATACCAAGAAAAAATAGATTAACATAAACACGACATTAACCCCATGAAAACTGGATAAATTGTTAATAGTTATATTAGTCATTTAAAAACTTCTACTGCAGTAACAACAGAAGTCTTCTCTCTACTTTATACCTGTGTGTGAACTCTCCAGAACAGAGCTCAACTAATTCATCCAACTTTTCTTGACTGTTAGCTGCTTCATGAGAAATTGAGCCAGCAAACACCTGTGACAATGTATGGGAATTTCTCTCCTTCCGAGTTTCAGAAAAAGATTCTAAAAAGGAAAAACTAATTTATTTTTTTAATGTACAAGTATTGAAACATACACATATTACAAATTTGAGATATTTTCCTATTTTGCAATAGCTATAAATAAGTAAAAATAAATACTAAAACTTTTTTAATATTAAAGTACAAAACACCTAATAACTCAAGGACTTTTTGAAAGTTGATTCTCCTTGTTTAGGGGTGAACTGAAAAAATCTACATTCCAAAAATGTTCCAGTTGTTGTTATTATTTTTGCATTGCTATATATCCAGTTTTTATCCAATGCTTTTTTTTAGTAGCATGAATGTTAAGTAAATTTGTTAAGTATAGCTTATATTCATGGCTTGATGTCTCATGTAACTTATAATTTTCTTTTACCTTCCTTATATATTCAATAATTTATATTTTCTTCTGTTTATCTCTACTAAAGGTTTTAACTAACTATTGAAAATGCTATAACATTATTTAATAAATATAAATTATATTATTATTTCCATATTTTGCTAAGCGTGGAAAAAGCAGATTCCAAAACATTCAAAGCTTTCTTAAATAAAAGTTTTTTTTGTTTTGTCAACTGTTTTCAACTATATTATTAGATTTCATAATAAAATTACAAACTTTCAGATGACAAATGTGTACCTGAAAACTGTCCAGAACAGAGACCCAGTAACTCGTCCATGCCAGACTGAGATGAGCTTTGTAAATCGATGTTTAATCCCTGGTCTAGACTAGGTGGTTTACTTTTGGTTTCATTCCTGAAAAGAAACTTCTCGTCAGTTACACTTACAAAATTACTCCCATGACAAAAGTATAAATATAACAAAATGTAAGCTTTTTTAAATGTATAATATTAATGGGGTGAAAAATGTACTGGCAGAACACATATCATAATGCAACATATACGTATATGTTTACAACTAAAGCTTTAGTTACTGAAGATTACTGGTACTAGAACTTTATTAATAACCCTCTTATTTATGTAAAATCACATCTACCAAGAGATTTTGACACAATTACTAAAGCTTTTGAAATACTGGATTTAATCTTTTTTTTTCAAGATAAAAATCATACTTGTTTATTACATTGTAATGTGTAAATGCTTTGCCCATCTATGTACAAAGGGAACTATATGAAATATAAATCAGTAAAAATATCATCCCGATTATAGAACATAAGTTATCATATTTACTGTGTTCCAAAAGAGAAGGTTATACACAAGGAAGAATTAGACATTTTCCATTGTTCTTGGTAACAAGAAAAAAAAATTATGAAAGTTGAGTGAGGTATTTGTTCAGAACTAAATAATATATTGATAAAAGACAATAATAATAATAAAAAAGTCATAGGGTGAATCCCAGGGACAGATAAACTGGTCATCATCATAAATATGAGAATTCTCTAGTACAAGTAATACAGTAATACAATTATCTTAGAAGTATTCTTAAAAGTAGTATAAAAATAATAGAAAAAAAATATATTACCATGCAAATTTCATCAAGTATTAAAATTCTTGCTACTAGTATCTTCCATAGGATTAAATTTTACATTGCATTTTATAAAACATAATAAAATAAAATCACATCCATCACAAAGATTACACAACAGACAACTTACTTCAAGCATTATATATATATATATATTGGATCCTCAATTTGGAAAATCATTGTGATAACTGTTCTCCAGGGACAAGAAAACAATAATAAATTTATAAATATAGTAAGGTATAAATATCTAAAAGATTAAAAACAAAATGAATGCTGGGTAAAAGAAATATCTGTTGATGTAAATACAAGATCTACCCAATGATGGGAATACATCATGTACAAATATAATCTCTATGTGTAAGCCTCACATACTGAAGAAATTAAACTTCAAAACTTAGAAAAAATGTGAGCTCTAAAACATCTAAACCACCATCCATTGCATGCAGTCAGCTGTGGAATTTTATTGCTTCCAATGAAACAGTATATGTAAAAAAAAGTTTATTATTACTTACCCTCTATATCCAATATATTTGAAGCAAAATATGTTTAAAATAAGAACTTACCTCTTGCTTTAAACTGTGATATGTTCCTTTTGAAAATATTTTTTAAGACCTTTAGTAAAACTGAAAACATTCCAAAACCTTTTCCACATGAAACAACTGTGCACAGTTGTCTCAGACAGTTTTGACAGTCACTATAGGAATCTGTCTAGCAAAGAAATCATATATTTATTGATGTAATTCTGCAGCTATTTTGAAGTCAACATCTAGAGAAGGAATTCCACATCCCTTGTCTAACATGACAATGAGATGGCAGTGAAATACAAGGGAATCAAACTCAAAACAAGCATCTAATGACAGACATGTGGGAAGAGACTGAAAAGCTGAGACAGAGCATCCACAATACCAACCACAGTATCAGGAACAAGCCCAGAAAGCCAAAGGCAAAGAAAGAGCTGGAAGAAGTTTAAAATAGCCAAAAGTTGTCATTTCAGCCCCCAGTAAGGTTTTCGAACTCACCACTCCAGTGGTAGAGATTTTCTTTGTCTTTCCCTTATTTATTTTTCACTTCTTTTCTTTAGAAAAAAGTTACCTTCCCACAACTGCCTGCAGGCAGTGAAGGGTGATATAGAAGTGGGACATTGAGGGCTTGAGCACCCACTTCTTGCTCTCATACTTGTTTATGTTTTGATTTTTTTAATATTTTCTTTAGATGCGAGGCTTTACGAATGGAGGTTAAGACTGATAGACAGCATACTGCCACTGCTATGTGGGTCCTACTTCTGCAACCACCTCCAAAAACAAACATACATCTTATACCCCACAGTATAGCTTGTAATTCTGGTGACTTTGTTTGGTTGTGCAACATTTTGGTTAAGGCTTGTTTTGTATTATAAATGAAAAGAGTATGTTAAGATTAGTGACGTTTTTAATAAGTTTATATTTTGAAATTATCTATCAAAAAGATAAATTATTTAAAAAGTCATTTTTTGCTAACAGTGACAAGAAATTTTGTAATTACAAATTTCAACATCATTCTATTATGCAATGACTGATTGACTGAGATGGAAAACAGTACTACACTAGATAAGTATTTTAGCACCAAACAATTATAACCTTTACAATAAAAATTTACACACAGAATAACTCAATAAAGTCTTGAGCAAGTAACTTATCTACAACAAGAAATCTGTGGGCATGTTCCAAGTAAAATAAACTTAAACATTCTCTACTAATATTATTGCATACATTAATGCAAAGATTGAACTTCAAGTTATGCATTCATGTTCCTTACAACATACTTCATGTGTTTCTGTATCTACACTTTTCTTCATTTAGAAAAAAAGAGATAAGGTTTCTCAAAATCTAAGGTCATTTTGTTACCCCATTAAAATTATTTGTAGTTTTTCTTCCCATTATTTTATTTATTTAAAATGCTCTAAAATATTTTCTGTTTAGTTTTATGTATTATTTGCTTAGCACCCCAGACTATGGTAGCATTTTTCAGTTCAGGACCCCCTACTGATAACTGTCAGATAATTGAAAATCAACATAGAAAAACTAAGATTCTAAAAATAAATGCTAGTGTAAAAATATAGTTGTAAACAGTCTATTCTAAAGTTAACCCATAACTTTAAAAACATTCACAAAACGTAGAATACCAAAAAGAAGAACCAGGTATGGCCTACTAGTTACTGTGCACAGACTGTGAAGTCATGGATGTGTTATAAAAGTGACGGTAAAATCTTACTACTTGGTACAATAAGAGTAGCCTAAACAGTTCAAAATTAGGGACAGATATGTGCAGAAAGTAGCTTTGTACAAAAATCTGAAATGAACTAAAAGGAAAAATATAAAATGCTTTCCCTGTAGCATAACTAGACAAGAAAGAGGTTTAAAATATGAAACAACTCTCTTTGAAAGTTAATATTAAAAAAACAACTTCAAGAGATTTGTTGAATTTTTTTAACTCCTCCCAACACCATCAATTTCATATCACCTTGTCTAGGCACACCAGTACTCTGGTTTAGAACTTTTATATCATTCTCCATCCACCTACAAGACCTCTTTGTCGTTTTCTTACTTTATGTAGAGGTGTAGTTACTATTCTTCGATAATTAATAAACAGAAGGTTTTTAAGTTTTGTTTACATTCAACAGTAGCTCATGTTATACTTAGAAAAAGCCAATAAAACATATAAATGTGTTAGAAAAAATGAAACAAGCCAACATTTTTATTCTGGGCAAGGCAGTGTTTACTTGTAATTTAAATTCCATTCTTGAATTTGATAATTTTAAGCTTACACTTCAAAGAAATACAAAATAATTATTTGTAAAATTTCAAAACAAATGTATACTGCAGCATCATTAAGTTCATGTAAGAAGCTTAACAGTCATCTATTGCCAACAGTAGACTGTATGCACTTACTATGAACTTATTATCATGTTAATAGTATACTGTATGCACTTACTTTGAACTTATTATCAATACCAATAGCAGACTCTGTATGCACTTACTTTGAATTAGTTTCTTCTTCCAAAGGAGAAAAGAGAAAAGCTTGGGAAGGAAGAGAGGTCCAAGTTCCATCTTTACGAGATGGAGTGTATGTTTGCAGGTTATTTATAATATACAAGTCCTGAGAATCTTCAACTGGCAGACTAAGCCTTGTAAGCTGTAATGGAAATTAAAATTTCAAACCAATATTTCTGTATCTTCTCAAGAAATGAAAAACTCAAATAACATTGTTAATAAATCCACTGAGTTTAAGCTCTAATCTTTTGACATTTTCCTAAAATTTCACACTTCAAATCTCAAAACTTAAACAGGGAATATCCTACACACATTATAAACTTTAACATGTGATTGTTACATAAACTGTAAAGTATGATAATTACTAAATGGCAAGAATGCATCTAAACAAGGAGATACTGAGTATCATGAGAATAGGATCAGAAGTCGTAACATGAACTTTGGAATTCATAATAGACTGTTAATAATTCGAAAAGATTGAAAAAATTTGATGAACAAAGGTAAGTTATTGGGGCAATAACTCCAGAGAACCAACTGTAACAAAATAATAATAAATAATAAAGCAATATTTCACAAAAAATAAGTAATCAATGCATGAAAATAACACAATTGAAAATGTCTGCGCTAGACAACTGCCTGATGAGAAGTGATCGTTTGGTAGAATTGAAAAGAGGGAGTCACATGCATCAGGAGGGTGTGTTGCACTCTTATTGGTGGAGGGTTATTGCATGATGAATTACATGCAAAGATGCAGTGAAACATGTTGATCATGGGGTACGTGGGAGTTCAAGGCTAGTGACACGTAAAAAATTGTGCATATGGAGGGCAGCACTGAACAAGAACAGCTATACATGTGAAAGGAGGTAAGATATTGTATTAGAAAATGAATTTTCATTGAAGTACAGATACAATTTAGCCATGTTTGAGGAGAAATTAGCTCCAATAAGAATACCAACTGTTTGTTTAAATACTTACTCACAAAAAACAATGTTATTACTATATATATACAAAAATTACGTATATTTTTACATTGACTCTTGATAAATTTGTATTTCTGAATAACTGTCTGTATCTAAAAATTAACCAATTAAATAATTAAAACTGATCAAACCTTTTAAATCTATTTTAGTAAATAAAGTAGTAAAATCATTGGTAAGAATACAACCAGCTGATTTCAAAGAATTTAAGTTTGTTAAACATTCCAAAACTGACATTGATTTAATAATCAAATGTTGTGATCCAAATTGTTTAAACACAGTAATTTTATTTATGTAAACAGAACATCTAGAATTTTATTAAATGTGATGGAAATGGATTTAAGGACAGTATTTAAAGAATGTGTCATGAATCTAAACAAATATTTTATGCAATTTTGGAATTTCATACAAAAAAAAAGTAAATTAGAATAAGTAGAGTTTATATATATATATATATATATATATTCCATTTTATTACATCTTTCTTTAAATAAGTAATAATGGTATTTTTATTTAATGTACTCTTTGCAAATATTTTAGTTGTATTGATTTCATTAATTCAAATTTGTGCATAGAATTTTTTACAAATAAAACCAAAATTACAATCTGCTACGTCAATAGGGGTAATAATAAATTATTTTTGAATTTCTCTAATTATATTTTTAAAAATATTAAAAGAAATATCTATCTTATAATTAGATAAATTTAAAGTACTCAACTGTTTTTTATAGAATTAATAAAAAATGATTCCCATTCAAAAATGAAACATGGAGGATAATGAGATTTTTTGTTAATTTTAAAAATATTATGATTAATATTATTTTCAAATCCTTTTAATATTTCACTTTGTCTTGTTTAAAATTCTAAATTTAGTACCTTTTTCTAAAATTACTTTTTAACTCTCCATCTTTGATAACTTCTAAGTTACCTGTAACAATATGATT